TTTTCTGCCAAGCATTTACACTTGCTCCCTAGTTAGGCTATGCACCCGTCCTGGGTATGACCATAAACTACATCCGCGTCTCCTGTAAGACGGTAAGCCTTGTCCACCAGCAAGGGCTCTGATTAGGTGGTTTTGAGGAGCGTGAAACCATCTTTTAATTGCTGGAGTTCTCAGGTCCACCGTGACTCGGGGTGGTAGCACCTGTTAGGGTCCCAGCCATGGGCAAATACTTAACCCCGAAACTGGGGTCAAAATACCGTGAAAGAATAAAAATAGTTTTTTATACCCGAAACACTTAGTAAAAAATTATTACCAATAATAAATTTTTGGAGAAAAAATAATTATAACCAATAATGAATTTTTGAGAAACAAAATATTACCAACAATACATTATTACCGGCAATAGATTAAAGAAACAAATATTACCACCAATAGATTTTTGAGGAAAAATATTACCAGAAATAGATTTTTGAAGGAAAAAAAAACATTATCAGCAATATATTTTTGAAAAAAATATACTACCAGCAAAAAAAAAAAAAAAAAATAATAATGTTGGTAATAAATAACTCCTTGAGGTTGATATACCGTAAAACAAAACAAACCAAACCAAACTAAATTGGCGAGTTACTTTTCAATCAACCTGTAAAATAATTCCTTCAACGTCTTATTCGACGAGAACGGCTTTACCAAATTTATTTTCGGGTCTTTTAACTTATTTCAAATTTTGATTGCTATCTTTCATTATTAGTAGCATTGTCATTTTATTGTTATTATTATTATTATTATTATGAAGTTTTGTCCACCATTATTAATTTCTGGATAGTAATTAACTTTCTTTTTAAATCATTTCACACCAAGCAATTCGATAAGCCCACTAAGACGCAAGAAGGTATTGAGTTTAGAATAATATAAGAAAAACATTATTGAGAAGAAAGGTCTGAAAGAACAAGAATTAAGAAGGCAGAAGTTAGCGACTGAGATTGAATTTAAATTTTTTAAGATCAAAGTTCACTGGAAACGAAAGAGCAAAAGAGTGTTCCACAAGTGATAAGTTCTGTCGTGTCCACTAAAATATCAAATACAATATTTATAAACCAATCAATAAAGTGCTTACATCTTAAAACTCGCCAATGAAAACAAAGAATACAAATCAATCATTTACATTTGCCCGCTAGTTCGGCTATGTGTGTGTGTGACACACATTAATCAGGAAAATTTAAATCCGCCCTCACTTTAACTCTCTGTAACCCTCTGCGTGCTAGTCTCTCTCCCACCTTGCTTAGGGTGAAATGCTTTAAAAAAAAAACCCCAAAAAACAAATTGCTACAGCATGATTAAAACTAACTTCCCATTTTAAAATACTTATAATTTATTTATTAACTATAATTTTTCAAGAAATAGATATGAGAGGAAAGCGTTTAACATGAGATCGATAAAAAAAAAAGAGGATAGCATGTATAATACGCCTTCATCTATAATAAGCAGGCATAAAATTGTGCTGAAAGTGTGGAAAAATGCTTCTACTGACGCATAATACGCACCGCTTCTTTGTTAATCAAACCCTATAAATTGTTCCTCTCCAATTTCATTACGGCCAGAGATTCCTACTCTTATTTTTAAAAAAATGATTTTAAATATAGAATAATATTATTCTAATTTAGTTTTATGATAAATCTGATTTTATTTTACGGCAATTTTTAAAGATTTTTTGTAGCTGTGCATAATACGCACCCCTGATTTTGCTTATTATTTTTTAGAAAAATGCGTATTATACATAGATAGTTAGATATATAGATAGATATGAAGAGACTGGGATAGATAGATATGAAAATAGAGATAGACAGACAGATACATACATACAGAGATAGATATGAAGATAAATAGAAAGATAGATATATAGAGAGATATGAAAAGAGATAGATAGATAGATAGATAGATAGATAGATATGAAGAGACAGATTGATAGATATATTTATAGAGGGATATGAAAAGAGACAGATAGATATATAAATAGATAGGTATGGAAATAGAGATAGATAGATACATACAGAGAGATAAGTATGAAAAGATAGATAGATAGATAGATAGATAGATAGATAGATAGATAGATAGATAGATAGATAACATAGTGAGATGTAAAGAGACATAGAATGATAGATAGTCAGACAGACAGATATGTACAGATAGATAGATAGATAGATAGATAGATAGATAGATAGATATGAAAAGACAGAAATATATAGTCGGATAGATAGGTATGAAAATACAGACATAGATAGATATGAAAATACAGATATAGATAGACACTGCGAGAAAGAAAGATATGAAGAGACAGAGATTGATAGATAGATATATAGAGACATATGAAAAGAGATAGATAGATAGATAGATAGATAGATAGATAGATAGATAGATGGTAAAAAATGAAAAGAAATCGGATATAAAAAGAACATTATTATAATCGAATACTTCCCAAAATCGGAATGAGACGAAAGAACACCTCCATAATATATATCAATAAACTGATAAAAGAAATGAAAAGTTGTAAAATCCCCGAAGTATAAAATGTCATAATTCTAAGAGCGCAGCTTGTTTTCTCTCACATTTTTTTTGTTTCGTTTTTTTTATTATTTATTTTCCTTACTAAAATTCATTTCATTGCTTGCACGTCCGACTTTAGTTTCACTGTTCGATTTTGCATTTACGACCTGATCTTTGTTCACGTGTCGTTTTACATCGCTTAAATATTTTGGTCACTTCGTGATCTAATCCTGTCTCATTATTTAACGTTGGACCTTTTTTTTTTTCCTTTTTCCTCTTGGTTAAAAGTGGAGAAAAATTATTTCCTCTTTTTTTTTTTTTTGGTCTTTAATTTTCTCCTCATGCTTGACATACCTTCAACTCACAAATGGATTAAATTTGCGCGCATATGATTTTTTTTTTTTTTTTTACTTTTTGATTCCGTTTCTGCGCATGCGCAGTTCAACGGTGCGTGTGACGAGAGAGAATGTATGTTAAAATGTCGGTTTATATAGAAATGCTTGCGAGATTCGGTTTTAAACAGAAAGCATTTCGCTCTCATTTATGTCCGTTTTACTAGTGATACCCGTTAAATTTTCACGGTTTTTTACTATTGTCATTTTTTTTGACGAACTTTATTTTTGTTTTTAAAATTAATGATTAATGATTAAACAAGGTATTCAAACAGAAAATTCCTTTATTGTATCTTTGAATATTTGAGCTTAACGACTTTGACAAAACATTACAATAACAATCATATACATGAACAGTGGTCATTATTTAAGCAAGTCAGATGGTTAAAATGAAATATTCGTAATTGAAAAGGTTCTCGAATTCACTGAAACAGACGTTAAACATATGAAACTGTAATAGCCTCCGCTATTTATCCTTCCGTTTCTTTTTTTCCCTCTAAACCCAAACAGCCATGTTGATATATCTTTCCTTCCGTCTATCTTCGCAATCAAACATGAATATCTCGTTATTTATTTAATACAATGACGGCGTAACGTTCGTTTTAAATAACTACCCTAGGAAATAAGTAATTAGCAGTTGAATATGATGTCTTCTCATAGAGAAAGAGACTTGTATTACTTTGCCTTTATTGGAACCAGGAAACCTAAAAAGCCTCAGGGCAGGTAACATTCTCGCCCGGCTACTCTTTGATAATGTGAATAATGTTGGAGATATCAGAGTTTTGCTGGAATGCGTAGATGTTGGGAAAAATCCAAAATAGTGTCTGAAATGTTATTGATCTTTACCTGGCATATCAACTTCAGTTATTTTCCAACCGCCCTGACCAGGGGTCCCACTGCTTTTTTCTATATTTTCGTATTAGCTTTTTTCTAATGAGCTTTTTTCCTTAGTACCACGATTGTATGAATATAAGCGTACTACTAGAATGTTAACTATGGCACTGCGTTTTTCTGTTGAACTAGCTCGATATAACAGTAAGTTATTTTCTAAGGGTTTCTTTTCACGCACTTCTCGCTTGTGGAACTTTTTCGGTTTCATCATTCCACGCGACCTACGATTTCCGAAAAAAAAAAGGTAAATTCAACGTCAATCAATATCTTCTGTCTTCTTGAAACCTGTTCTTTTCACCTCACTAAAGTTTTCTCATTTTCTTTCACTCCCAGTAACCAATTGCGTCTTAGTGGCATTATTGCCATCTTTTGTCTTCCTGAAACCTGTTCTTTTATTGTCCTTTCTCCTCATTAAACTCTTTTCATTCTCTTTCACCCCCAGTAACCTCTTGCGTCTTAGTGACATTATCGCCATCTTCTGTCTTCCTGAAACCTGTTCTTTTATTGTCCTTTCTCCTCATTAAACTCTTTTTCATTCTGTTTCACTCCCAGTAACCCTTTGCGTCTTAGTGGCATTATCGCCATCTTCTGTTTTCCTTAAGCCTGTTTTTTTATTGTCCTTTCTCCTTACTAAAGTTTTCTTTCACTCCCAGTAACCCCCTGCGTCTTAGAGACTTTATCGCCATTTTCTGCCTTCCTGAAGACTTTTCTTTTAATTGTTCTTTGTTCTCTCTAAAGTCTTCTCATTCTCTTTCACTCCCAGTGACCCCTTGCGTCTTAGTTGCATTATTACCATCTTCTGTCTTCCTGAAACCTGTTCTTTTATTGTCCTTTCTCCTCACTAAATTCTTCTCATTCTCTTTCACTCCAAGTAAACCCATGCGTCTTAGTGGCATTATCGCCATCTTCTGTCTATCTGGATACTGTTTTTTTATTGTCCTTTCTCCACAACGAATTCTTCGTTTCTCGTTTACTCGCAGTAACGAATTACGTCTTAGTGGCATTATCACCTTGCTTGGGATGATATTTCACTCCAGAGCTTCACTCCGGTACCCAGCACTTGGAAGTAATCCAGACCATTGTCTTCACCTACGAGATGATGTGATTCCCATTAAGATGATCTTTGTTTTCTTGATTCAAGAAGACGATCTCAGGCGGCGAGTTCCGTGGTAAGCATCATTGTCGGTAGCGGAGATATATAACATTATTCCCGCTTCTCTGATCACTTTCAGGAAGCCGGATACATGTGAGTTGCTGTGGTTGACGAGCTGAGATGGAAGATTGGAAGATGGCGTGTAAATATTGTCAATACGTATTCAGGAGAAATATGAATGTTATAATTTGGCGCTTGCCGCGTTACATTAAATTAGGCCACCTTAAGTCCAGCATATGTGGTGTGAGACATTAGCATCCTCTCTCCCTCTTGACCTAAATCTCTTTATATATATATATATATATATATATATATATATATATATATATATATATATATATATATATATATATATATATATATATATATATATAACAATGGGATATATAATCCGGTGTTCTTATTGATATTTGTTTTTTACAAAAAAGTGCTCAATGTAAATATACAGAACATAACTATTATAAATTAACTGATTCAAAATATGTTTTCGCTACACAGTAATGACCATGTTTCAAAAACTGAAGCTAAAAACTTCAAATTTTAAATTATATAATATATTTATATACAATTCAAATTTTAAAATATATAATTAAATTTGAAGATTTTAGCTTCAGTTTTTGAAAAATGGTTATTACTGTGTAGTAAAAAACATATTTTTAATCATTTAATATATATATATATATATATATATATATATATATATATATATATATATGCGTTTGAGAGTAGCAGCGCTATATCGAGTCTATTAAGTTTCTTCTTCATCACCGCGGCCCGTTAGTACAGTTAGTATAACGCTTGCATTGTATCGAAACAGTCAGAATTCGAATCTCAGTAGTGAATGCGCATTGCTGATGAATCCCAAAATATGACGAAATGGCCATCGAGTACATTCTGCATTCGGTTGAGGATTCGTCTATAATTTGCCTAAATACGCAAAATTCTATTTCTTCTATATCCTTTCTTGACCCAGCTGCGATGGAGCTTTTTCCGGGAAAGGAAAGACGTGGCTCATGGGGCACAATCCGTTGGGTTATGAATACTTGGATGAGTATCACCACGGAATTTGTGAGTAGCGGCGCTATATCGAATCTATTCAGTTTCATCTTCGTCCCCGAGTTGTGTCGGTATGACGCTTCGTCACCGAGACCCGTTGGTATGACGCTTCGTCACCGAGGCCCGTTGGTATGACGCTTCGTCACCGAGGCCCGTTGGTATGACGCTTCGTCACCGAGGACCGTTGGTATGACGCTTCGTTACCGAGGCCCGTTGGTATGACGCTTCGTCATCAAGACCCCTTGGTATGACGCTTGCGTTATATCGCAACAGTCCGTTCGAATCTCGGTAGTGGATGCGCACTGCTGATGAATTCGCTGCATTCTCTTGAGGATTCTTCTAGACTCGGTGAATTACTATAATGATTTGCCTAAGTCCCCAAAATTCTATTATATATATATATATATATATATATATATATATATATATAATTACTGGCTACTTGTTTTCAGGCACACTCATCGTTGTGGACGCCTACAGAGGTACATTTGCTCGCCTGTGTTTGATATTCTATGCTGAGTCGATCTTAGTTAACGTTTCTAAGAGATTGCATAATCTAGTGGATTTTGAAACCAGCCAGTACGCTCAAACTCTCGGTCACGGTGACTTTTGGTTTCGTGCTAGCCTTAGCACCGATGGTTTCTTGATTGAATACATATATAATTTGTGAATTAAGGCATAAATCCTTCTTTTATTCAAGTTTGTTAAAAGCGACTGACATGGTAATGATGGTAATACTTTATTTAATTTTTCGTGTGTTCTCATATTTTTCTTTTCTATATATTTATATTTTTTATATATATAAAAATATTTAGTTATATTTTTTACAGATGTAGAAATTGTCCAAATAAATAAAAAAAAAAAAATAAATTCAGTTAAAAGTAAAATGAAAATATTTTTTTATAATGGTGTTGTGGTGTCCTCCCTCTAAAGAGTCTATGTTATACTCTTCCGCCTACTATAAGATTAGTAGGCCTTGGGAGAAGAGTCGACCAGACTGATCCTTTCTGTCGAACTTTCTGCCACGAGCGGAAAGGAACACGGACGAGGCTTCGCACAGAGCAAAGTTTTGTCCGGGGAGGTAGACAGTCCTTGAACCCGTTTAGGCGGTTTCAAAGGGAATATTTTTGGCCAAGCCTACGGGCTCGGAGTACCCAAAATAAACCGGCCTTGTACCGCATACATCCTCGTGGTGGGGCTGTTAAATATTAACAGTCGACCAGACTATTCATTTCAGTCGAACCCTCTGCCTCGACAAAGAGGAACTCGGACGAAGTTTTGCCGCTGGTCTAAACTTCGTCCGGGGAGGTAGACAGTCTCTGAACCCGTTTAGGCTGGTTCAAAGGGAGTATTTTTGGCCGAGGCTACGGGCTCGGTATACCCACGATAAAATCGGCATTGTGCTACATACACCATCGTGGGGTTGCTGTTAAATATTAACAGTTGACCAGACTGTGCGTAACTGTC